TGCAGCGCAAGCAGCGGGTCACGTAGACGTATGGGGAAGAACCACGAATGGAAAGGTTTCCTTCCCATTAGGTGGTCAGAAAAGCGATCTGCGAAAGTCCGAACAAAAAACAAAAATTTAGAGCTTTATTTTACTTTTATAGTTTATGCAACTTTGTATCATTTACAAAACGGTAATCCGGATTGTTTAACATATTTACCTATAAGATAATGGCCCATTAGAACACCAATGCACAGTGGTTTCAAACAGGATTTTAATGGTCATAATTCACTGGAGTCTATATTTTTCAACCAGTATAGTTAAGTTTTTTTTATGAAAGCTTATAAAATTAGGAAGAGACTAGTTGAGCCCAATTTTTTAATGTGTGTATGTTTATATTAAATTTTTGTGCAAAATGGAGAAAAAACAGTAGCTTTGAATAAAATAGATTTTCCTGTTCTAGTTAGTAAATGTTACATAATAAAAATTAGTTGGAAACAATTGTTGGGTTCCCCTAAAATTTTCAAATTGAGTGAAAAATGAAGGCTCCAGTGAATTATGAACAATAAATGTCAGTTTGGAGCCACTGTGCAAAAGTTTGAGATATACTATATTTATATGCTTAGAGAATTTAGGGCAATATAACAGGCAAGGTAAGGCATTTGAACCTTCATTTAGTGCTGTGGAGTTAATCCAGTTGGTAGAGAATCGTACTAAGCCATTATATTTTGCTAAGTAGTTTATTATCGCTCACCTTATAAATGGCAGGGCCCCATACAAGCACTCCATATAGCAGGAGAACTGTTCTAACAACCGCTTTCTAAATCGAGCGCAAAATGCTTGGAGTCAAGCCAAACTTTTTGCCATGGCTTTCTTGCACGAATACAGAGCTATGAAGGACTTTTCATAAGGCTCCTTTCAGCTCAACGTCTTATCCAAAGTCATGGCTGCGAACTTAGCTATGTATGTATGTTCCTGTTGCTCTCCATTGGAGTTACCGACAATGTTTTATATAGATATATATCACATATGTATATCACTTTGTTCGAGATACCATGCCGCTAAGAACATCTTTATAGGATACAAAGTGCCCCTGCATCACATATTGTTTCTGGTAATTTTCATCTATAGCAGCGTTTAAGATGGTGATTATATCGATAACTGTAATGAATATAATTTAAATTCTCGAAAAGTAGGGCTTATATAAAATTTGTATTCAAATTATGCGAATGTCTTTTGTACTGAGTACAACACTGAATTGATAACGATGCAAATATTGATTAGAACTATAGAATAGTTGCTTTTGTTAATAAAAAAATAATAAATTGAAAAACTAAAATTAAAACTTAGCTAAGTAGCTATTAAGATATGACAATCAAAAATGTTGTATAATCCTATTAATGCGATTCGAATTTCGCATGTGAAACAATAAAAATGAGAAGTAATGAGTCGTTAATTTTTTTTTTTGGTTAAAAAAACTTGACCACATTTATTCAACTCAGTTAAATTTTATTACGAAGCACTTACTTATTTTAGCTGGTAAATTTAGCCAATTATAAATTGCGGTTTTTTCATATGTGACATTTCATTTTTTTTATGTCACTGAGAGAAATTTAATTTATTTAAATGTGCCTGCGTGCTGGCCAATAGAGCGACAAATGAGCTTTTCATTTGGTCGTACAATTATTTAGTGAAAATAATAATTGTTTTAGAGTAAAAAAGTTAATTAAAAATTAACATTTCACATATGTCACACTGTGTGTATTATCCTCAAAAATCGAAAGCGAAAACCATTGGATCTAAAAAGACACTTACGGCGCCAGCTCTATCCGAGCTGTAATATACGGAAAAACTGCTACAAGTTATATAAATATTTTTACTCTGCGCATAGCTGAAACTGTTATTTAAATCTTCTACTTATATAAGCCCTTTTTTTATTAAAAAAATAAATGATTCAGAAAATATACGTATATACATATGTACATATATTTCCATGTGCAATGTAAGTAAATTATTGAGTGAAGTGGCAAATGCTCGCAAAATCAATGGAAGCAAATTCATTGCACTTGAGTTCAATGTCAGTTGAAAGACTTTTGTTTGTATTTGCTTAATTGGACATCATGCTTCTAAGGGCCGATTTCGAATGAATATTTAAACGTCTCTTAAGTTTAATTTTGGAATGTTATTTAAATGTCATTTAGCTTTCGTTCAAACAAGTGGCAACACTGTTGCTTGTTCCTTGAAATTGTTGTAGCACTTGTTTATTTTTTTTTATTTTTTTTATTTTACATTTTCTACTGAACAGCTTGTTCTTTTCAAGAAAAAGGTGTGTATTTAAATGGCACATAAATGTGAAAAGCTACTTGAGAAAATGGCCTCATTTAGATTTATGAAAATAATATATAATTCCAGAGCGCAGCCAGAAATCACACTCGGCTATCGTCGAATAATTACGTAGAAAAGCTTAAAAGGTTTTGTTTACTTCGGCAAGAACCAATTAGAGTTAGAAAGCCAGCGTTTTTTGGCAAATTTCATTTCACTTATTTAAATTTACTACACGAGATGCCACGCTAGGTTTATTTATGCCCCTCCACCTTCCATAATTTTGCGTTTTATCACACTTGTACCTTGGTGAGTGAGCGTTTGTCACTTTCGCGATGATAAGGGTTTTATTACCTCAGGTAATTAACCGCGACGTGCCACTAAAAGGACAAAGTAAACAAAAACAAGTGTGATTCATTTTCCATTTAATTAGCAGATATTGTAAATATAAATAATATTAGGAGCGGAATGTATGCGTTGACATAAATGCAACGTTACGCTTTCCAAACAAATTCAAATGTACAACAAACATAAGTTTATTTTAATTGTTTTTTATTTTGTAGTTTTTGCAAAAATGATTAATGATCTGACTTGCTTTGGAAAAGAAAGAAAGCTTTGAAAAATTTAATTTAATGAAACAGCGCAATAAATAGAGATTTAAAATATAATATAAATTTTACTATTCATTGCGTAATTATTTAGTTATTTATTACAGAATTAAGTTAATATTGATATTTAATTGATGTCAAATTAAATATTATTGCTCTGAATTTGTGCAGTGATAAAAAAATAACTTAAATAATTTTCTGAATGGAGTGAAAGCCGAGATTAGCTTACTTTAATGTTAATTGACAAGCATTAATATCCATACAACATAAGTCATATTTCGAGCAGTTATATAATTAAAAGTAAAAAAGGCTGACTTTGTGAATTGGAATTAAACAAAAAGGAAAACAGCTTTTTAAAATTGCAAAAAACCAAATTCGAAGTCTAATTAAAAGAAGCATAGGTTGGTTTTTGCGGCGAGTGCCAAAGAACGCGCCGCCTTAAAAGCACAACTCAAAATCTAAGTTGAAAAGAGACCGTAATAGGAAAGAAAGATACGGGGGAACCGTAGCGAATGAAATGGTTTAATGTTTCATAATTTTGTTAAGGCTAGCCCAGAGGATTTATTCTTGTTAATAATATATAGAACCATTCCAAAAAATTAAAGTAATTTTTCTTTGCTTCGTGAAACTGGCTGTAAAAGTATGCTAAAAATTTAAATCTTTATTACCAAAATTATAAAAAAAAAACCTAAAACGAATAAAAATCAAACCACATAATGGAAACCCTTTCCCTTTTCCCTTGGCTTATTATTACTATTAATTACAGCCTTAAACCGGGGACCTTGAAAACATGCCCTATAATTTATTAAATGCCAGCAAAGCACACAATGCATTGTATGAATAATAAACAGCTGCTGCTGAATCGACATACATTAAATAAATTTCAAGGGACAATTGCGACATTTTCAACCAAAAATTGCTTACTTTTTACCCTAAAAAAATTATTCAAAAGCTTATCATTTTAATGTGAAAAATTTGCAAATTAGATTTAGTGAAAACTGTCGGCTGAAAATTTAAAATGGCGCTTTGCAAAATTAAACGCACGTAATAAAAAAAAAGAAAAAAAAAAACCGAAAAAACCGAAATAGGAAAAACAATGAACACCTTTGCTTGCGGACCAGCAGCAGCAGCCGCAGCAGTCAGCTGACAATGGCTGGCGCGTGGCACGCAAACGTGAAGTGAGAGTATTTGCTGCTCGAATTTCATTAATTTTAATTAGTTTGGCAAATATTTATACGCACAGTATCTGATATTGCATTTGTTGTTGCACAGTGATTGCCGTTTCGTACTCGCTGTAGCGTTGCTTACCCCGATCATGAGCGTATCAATATACATATTTGCTTTTCGTATGCCATTAATATTATTTATTTTTATTTTTTTGTAAAATTTATGAGAATTTGTTGCTGCTGTTGTTGTTGTTGCTATTGTGGCTGTCATTATTTAAATTTTTAGCGCTGCCGTCGCGGTCTCGCTGTTACACGCTCGTCCTGTTTTATTTACGCTTTGCATTTTAATTAATTGCGATAAATATTAGCTGTCGCAATGATGGCACGGCAACAAAAAAAAACAAAAAAACATAAGCAAAAATAACTGTACCACGAGCAAAGTGTTGACTTCCACTGGCTCAGGCAGTACAGTACAAAAACAAAGTGTAGTATTTGATTTATTATTTGAGTGTGGTTGTATTTAGCCTGCTGTCGACATTTAATGCTGCATTCGCTAAGCTGGCTTAACATGTAATTGTTATTGCTGTTTTTGTTGTTGGAGTGCAGTTATCTAAATCAATTTTCATTAGTTGAGCGAAACTGTGTAATAGTGGATTAGCTTTTATAAATCGAAAAGTTATTATGAAACAATTTTTTGTCCATTGAAAATTAATGAAAATGTGAAGGTTGCTCATACGCAGTGGCCAACTCCAGTCGGTGAAGTTTGTAAATTGATTGCAGGTAGAGTTGATAGTCCAGTTTGAGAGTAATTAAACAAGCTATGTTAAAAGCTTTAAAGTAAATTGGTAGTTGATAGAAAAAATTATTAACCAGAACTTTAAACTTTATACTAATGAAAAAAATTTCTATTTACCATTTCTTCCAGCCCCGCAACAAGGAACAAGAACAAGAAGTCCTCAACTGGATCTTCGCTGTGTTGGGTGAAAAAGTACCCGCTGGCCAATACGAGGACATACTCAAGGATGGCATTGTACTCTGCAAGCTAATTAACAAATTGGCGCCCGGCTCGGTGAAAAAGATCCAGGAACGTGGCACCAACTTCCAGCTGATGGAGAACATTCAACGCTACCAAGCGGCCGCCAAGAAGTACGGCGTGCCCGAAGAGGAAATCTTCCAAACTGCCGATCTGTTCGAACGCCGCAATATTCCACAAGTGACGTTGTCACTCTACGCCTTGGGACGCATTGTGAGTGGTGATTGGAGTATTTGGAGAAATTGAATATTTTAAACTTATTTTCTTCTCTTTTAAACAGACACAAAAGCACCCCGAATATACTGGGCCGTCGCTAGGTCCCAAGATGGCTGATAAGAATGAGCGTGAATTCACTGAGGAGCAGCTGCGCGCGAGCGAGGGTCACCTCAACTTGCAGATGGGCTACAATAAGGGCGCCTCGCAATCGGGACATGGCGGTTTCGGTAACACGCGTCACATGTAAAGTATGACGCCGGTGTTGGTGTGTCTCTCTGTGTGGCTAAGTCATTCATTCAAACTAAGATATACTTTCAATGTTGGAGTAGCAGTTGTTTTTCTTTAAGGCTTAATATTTTAAATATTTTCGTTTTTTTGTAAACTATGTTTATTTTGTAAAATGGCATTATTTTTGGGGCATTTTCTCTCTAGTATTTATTTAATAACATAAAAT